AAGTAACATTAGTATTATTGAAAATAAATTATATTCAACTATTGATTGTTTAATGGATAAACTGATAAAATTGATCAAAATGCAAAAGATAACTTTATTCTGTAATTAATAATTACAATTTTTGTTTTCCTATTTTCTACGTTGCATTTGTGCTATTATTAGAAAATTTTCTTGTAATTTAAAAAAGCATTACAGTTTCCTTCGATGGTATTTTTATGCATTTCATCAATGATATTAATATTCAATTTATGATTTATAATGATCTCATCTTATCAACATTTCTTTTATATGTCTTTTTGACATTTCATGAAAGTTTTTAAAGCTTCATCTTCACGTTCAGTTTTTCAATTCTCATCATTCCAAGTACCCATTTTTTTATTCTACTAAAACTTCGCAGTTCAGCTAATCACCAGTAGTGTTCCATTGCAGATATTCAAGAATTACAAATTTTCTATTTAGTTTTTTTTTTTTTTTTTGGAGTAATAAATTTGCTGTATTCAAACACATACAAAATAGGCCCACGTATTATGAATATCTAAAAAGATATTATAATGAATTTGAAAACCTGAAATTTTGTAGGGTAAAAAAAGAGAAAGTCAGAATCTGATCCAAAAGCAGTTATGGATTCTATGCTGAAAGAATAAGGATGAAATGAAAGGATAGCATTGCAAAGAAAAAATATCGTCATAAATTCTGAAAGTGACACATATTCTGTCTTGCAGCGTAAGGGAAAAAGAAAATTTTAAAGGTTTTACTTAGATGTTAGGAAATATGTCGCAGGGCTATTCATTGTAATTATGAGGATTTTATGGTTAAGTTTGAAGATTGCCTTATCCTTAATACAATGTACACAAGAACATACTGATATGAGAGTTTATTGACTCTGCGAATACTAAAGATACTAATGTAATACCACATTGAACACTAAATTAAAATTCATTATTCTACATACATTAGTATATACAGACATGATGAAATCAACATTTACAAACCACAGAAACTTGAATTCATTAATTTAATTCACAATATCCTGAACAGATTATTGATCGTTACTTGATCAATTTGATGAGAACATGTAGGAATGATTTCACTGTTAACACCCGTAACTTATTCAAGTAATGTATAATTTTATCCAAGCTTGCGGCTGATAATCGTGCCATTTTTACTTTCATGACACTTCCAGTTTTAATTTTAATTCTCCATTTTTTCGTAGGAGATAAATCACTAAATCCGCAGAAAAATGTTTGCATATGTTTTTATAGTAGAAGTTTCTTTGAAACGCAGTACGATTTATTTCGACTTGCTGCACAAACTTGGAGAGGAAGTACAAAAAATGAAAGGCCTATTATTCACTATTTCTAACTATAGATCCTAGTACAACATCCCTTAAAAAAACATGCGGGAAACAACACTGGAAATTCCCACAGTTACTTCATAATGAATCAGATTATAAACATAATTAAGTTATATTAGCACTAACAAAATAAGAACTTCTCAGTGGTTAGAAAGAGATCGTGGAAAGTGGAATTTGGGCAAGAAAATGTTCCAATCGCTAATATAAGTGCCCCTTAAAAAGATAAACTGCTCACCACAAGCTTCGGCTAATTCAATGAGCGATGCATGTTTCTCGATGAATTTTAGAAATATGTCTGCATTTTCAGCATAACTCACCATTTCTTCCACAAAATCACCATCATTAGCCTGTAATCATTATGATTATTAGTAATTATTATGTTTATCTTACACTACAAAAACATCCCTCATCTTCCTGTTTGGAATGAAAAAAAGGTAGCTAGTTAGAATTTTCTCTTCCTAGGTTCAAACTTTTCTGCCAATTTAAAATTTGGGGTATGGTCCATTTTATCCATATAAATAAGCCAAGAAATGCTTACACTGATCAATTTACGTAATGTATGGACGGTAATGTTTTCTCTGGATTTTTCATCAATGTAACGAAGAAATTTGAGCATTTCGGAACGAAATAAATGGTTTCTCATCCAGACACGGTCTTCGTCTATTTCGTAAAGATGTGAACGGACAATGATAAAATCAACCATGTACGAGTAATAAGCAAAAGTATCACTGGAAATAACAATCAAAATTCACTATTAATTTAGTCCTGATGACAAATATATTCATCGTACGGATAGATATAGTTAAATTTTCCATTTTTCATTACTACAATTTATGTTCGTAGCAAACAAGGCAGTATGCAATAAAGTTGCACCGACAACAACATCGATGACAACCAGGAAAGGAATTACTGTCTAAATACAAATTCATCGCAAATCAATGGAGTTGTTACCCTTCGATGAACATGTTGAATATTTGTCGAAATGTCTTGGGGCCATCACGCAAACATTCATCCACTTCTTGGCTTTTTTTCATCTCATCAAGAATAACATCATTGTAAAATTTCCAGTAATTCGAGTTCATTTCCATTCCCGCCTCAGTAACAATAGAATTCCTCCTTTCGACAGAATTCCTCCTAAATGCCCCAGCTTTTTCTGTTTCTCCACTAACTGATTTCATTATAAACCGTGGACTCGCACTGCCTCCAACCGATTTCGTTTTGAATGTTCGATCTGGACTGCTATTAAATAATTTCTTTTCGGCGATTTCTGAATTTGTATTCATAGTGTTCTTAGCACGTCCCACTTCGGTCACTGCAGTTGTATAGTCACTATTGAACACTGGAGACTCATTCATCGCCTTATGTGAATAATTATGCAAATTGTCAGCAATTTCTAAAAGTCTAAAAGTTTAAAACTAATATCACAGTAACACATACAACTGCGGTCCTTCAGCACACACTGATATTTTTCAAGCAATCTGTCCATCGTTCCTGTTTCTTCGACACACCATATATTATCATGGTCGTCAGCTGAAGTCACTTTCGTAGCTGTCCAAGGATGAGCTGCTTCGTATGCCCGATAAGCCAAGATTTTCACCTGTAAAAGAACAAGTGAATATCTCTAGATGTAAGAAGTGGTAAATTTTCTTATCATTTACAAACAATATTTTTCTGAGAGTCAGCTAAGTACTCGTACTCTGTCCAACTGCAGCAAAATTCCGGTGTCAAGAGATATAAGATCGATCTGGAAGCTTTGCTAAATGTCTGATAAGTCTCAATCGATTGGATAACCACAGAAGTGAGACTTTTGATCACCCAGAGTTCAGGGATCATTCGTAAAATATTGAGGATATTTCATGAATGATTACTAAGCATTAAGCGATTCTGCTAAACTTGATTTTGATCTGCCCATAGAAAACTGAACCTACTTTCAATTAAGGGGACCAAAAAATCAAAAGTATCACTAAAAATTTAAATGTTTTATGTTTTACATAAAGAAAAATCAGACTCTTCACTTTTTTTGTGAAGTGAATTTCAAATAATGCCCAAAGATTACAGGAGAACAACTTACCAATGTCCCTATAGGATATTTTTTTGCTAGGTTCACTTCATTTGATACATTCTTACTTAAGCCGAACACTGTTTGAGCCTTCCAGGGCCCTCGAACTATTTCAATTTTAATATATCCTGTGTTACTCACTGCGCTAACAACTTTGCCTATACCATCCAAAACAATGCTTCTGTCATATCTAAAAGCTCTCCGCCTTAAAAATTTTGAAAAAATGAAAAATCCAGCATTATTATAGATTTAAAACTTGTACCTCCAAATAAATTTAAAGAAAAATACAATAATAAATGGAAAATTCAATAGTGCTACTCCAGTGCTAATTCATAGTATCCAGAAATCCGAGTTAGAAATAACTCCAAGTGGTAAATTTATTACAAAAATTGTATACATCAGTGTTAATACTACTTTTGATGCTATCAATATTTTTATCACCTTATGGCATTCTTATAAGTGGGTAAAGCTCTACGTTCCCACGCTGATGGAATTTCCCTGCATATACGGCTGAGCATAACGCCATTGCTTTCGCACATAATGAAAAAATTTTTGTGTTTCTCTAGGAAGTAGCGTACTTTTTTTTCCGTGTTTCCAACTTTGGATACAACTATCTGTAAATTACATTATGATATAGAAAGTTAGTTACTTGTTAATTAATAAATTTCGATATTCATTTTGTCCTTAACACTCCAGCACTTCATATTTAATCCACTGTTGTGCATATGAAAAAGTTGACCATCGCTATGGATGTACCCAAAAAGATATTTCATGACATGAAACTCGTATATTAAAGCCGAGTGAAATATAGAATGAAACTTCATTCCTTGAACGATTCATCATCAAGTAACAATCAGCACTGCTGATACTAAGTATATTGAAAGAATTGCTCCCATCAAAATCTGTTAATTTACGTTAAAAATAACTAACGGGACTACATCGCATGATCACGTGAAATACAGTTTCCAAATTGCACTTTGACTGATCGAGAACACATAGAAAGTTGACCAAATATCCGAACATTTCACGGAATTCTTGTGAATGATTCCTCACTAGATCGAAAGACACTTCAAAAATATTGGTACGCGTCCCGATGAATTGTACCAGATCGTTCGATGTTTTGAAATTATTTCTCTAAAATAAGGAAAACACCAAGAACTTGATCACTGGATGAATTTCGAAAAAAATTTGGCAGCTAACAATGTTTCTTCTACAAATCTGCGCATGGATATATCCAGTGTGTGCCAGACCGAACACCGTACTGCACAATAATTCAATATCTAAATTCTATTTGAAGGAAACAGATTTAAATTCATTACCTTATCAGTTTTGAAGACGACATCATTCAGCTGCCTAAATGTCAAAGCACCATTTTCAGCAAGGATTCGATCCAGTAATACCACTTGTTTCAATTCTTTGTCAATTTGTTCTTGAGTAAAAACTGGTCTTCCATTTATACCATACATCTAATGTTTAAAAAAAAAAAGTCTCCATTCATTGGAAAATTCAAAACGAGTGACACACCTAAGTTCTATGAAAATGACAAATCTGCTAGGAGTAAATGATGTATTGATGAAGGGATGAAGGGATGAAGGGAATGCGTTATGGAAGAAAAATTAACAAAAACTATCACTCTTCCTTTTATACTGCAACTTCGACTTCATCTTAAATTTCAACTATTTTAATATATGTCGTATATTAACAAATTATTGAGATATGTCTTAAAAATCAGTAAATTGTTTGTGACAACTATACTGCTCATCCTTCCATGGGGTTTTTCTCGTGTAATCAGAAAGAAAATACCCCACTTAATTCCTTCCATATATAATTCGCACATTATCAAAAAAATATGAAAATAAAACCAAAATTAACATGAAATTACTTCAAAGTGATATAACACATTGGCGGGTTAATATTTAAATACAGGAATCGGCTACTTGTCTTCCGTTTAATGATTTCCGGAAACCGAATTGTGCAGAAGACAAGGTCTGAAACGACAGTAATAGTTGAATAAGAAACGGATTTTCCCCAGGGAATTTTTGCAACACATTCTCAACATATTCTCATCATCTACATTCTCCACTGGAAACCACAAGAATACCATGTTTACAAATCTACAAAATTTCATAATTCGTTGCATGCAACGTGAAAAAAATACCAGGTCCCGCGTGAGCGATTTATCCAATTTGAGTAGAATTACGATAATTTGAGAGCTACTCTTTCCTGCTCAAAGTAGTATTGGAGTAAAGAAAAATGGTGCACTAATTTGTAATAGATGAATGTAGATAAGTAGATAGATAGATAGATAGATAGATAAGTAGATAGATAGGTACATCGATAATTAGATAGATAAATAAATTAGATAGATAGATAGATAAGTAGATAGATAGGTACATCGATAAGTAGATAGATAGATAAATAAATTAGATAGATAGATAGATAGAACGATTAGATGGACAAAGAAAACTGATATTATGCATTGAGGAAGTGCTTAATTAGTTATAAATGCTAATTACAAGCATCAATTGAAAATGTAAATTAGAAGGAAGCGTAAATTAGCAAACAATTTATCATTATTCTATCATACTTTCAATTAAGTATTATTGAATTGGATCTAAGTTTAGAATAAACCGGAAATAGTTGAAATAATGAATATTCAGTAAGCATCCAGTATGTCTATTTCACATATATTTTAAAACTATCATTTATCGCTAACAAACATGCATTTTTTTTACATGCATTTTTTACATGCATTTTTTGCCTACAACAAACATGCATTTTTTACATGCATTTTTTTTTACATGCATTTTTTACATGCATTTTTTACATGCATTTTTTACATGCATTTTTT